CAACGACAACGAAGATCTGTACCAACCTCGCGTCAGCTTAAGAAGATCAGTTTATAAGATCTCATAAATAAATATATCTCGGCATCATTGCGGTTGTAGTTCACATAATAGTCTGCCATAAAAAATAAAAGGCATCAAAATAGAAAAGTTATATTCCTGTTATTATTTCAGAAATTGACCTTCCTTTAACATCGGTATGTCTAATCAACTTGTGGTAGCTTTGATTTGTTCTAGCTAATAATTGTACAGACTTCTGCAGGATTGATTGTCCGGGAAAACAAGTTATTATCACCGGACAATCAAGACTATGAGTAAGAACATTGCTGTATATAACGGCCATATCCGGCTGAGCATGCCCCATTCCAATGGCGTTCCACTGAAGAAAGTGCGACTCCATACGATGACGAAGGCATCACATCGAGAAGACTAACGACTGTGGACCATCGACTCGGATCACCCACCAGCTCTGACGAAGGCGAAGACATCGAAACGTTCGCTGAACAAAATTTTTATCAGCCTCGTATCAGCTCATTAAGAAGCGTTACATCTTGCTCTTATGTTCAGCCGTAATAGCAACTCTATCAATCCCATAAAACACGTTGTTTTATAATTAATGGTTGACACTGTATTAATTACAAATGTATGATATGTATAGCATAAGTTCTACAGATTAGAGCATTTATTCTCCTAAGTTTTGATTAATCCGAAGTCAAATTTGTCGCGATACTTCAGTAAGAATAAAAAGCGAAGATTTTGACCTAGGTACCAAGAAGTGTTACTGAGACGACATTGCTGTATTGTGGTGTTTTTACTACATAACTTGAGCCAAATAAGTGTTTTCACCCGACATAATACTGCTTCAAGGGCTAACACGTTTCTCATGCGACGCTAAGTTCGCCTGCTCTCAAGGTGGCCCCGACCTTGTGGTGATCGCCCTATAGAGAATTTTTTTTGTAGTATGTATTGCATAGTCCTAACTGAGATGTGATGTCCGCATTCGCGATGAAAGGAAAACGGGAGAGCCGCGAGTGGAAGAACGCAGAAACGCGCTGAAACAATGCGGTGCCAGCGACTTGTTTCTCTGAGCGCTACGAAAGCAACAAATAGAGAGGAAGAAGCCGGATCCATGGAGCCATATGGGGTTCCTTGGCGCAGGACTCCATAGGAGACTATCGGTTGGTGGTTGGCGCCGAAATGTATTCAGTGGTCAGAGTGGAATCCACGAGTCATTCACGCCTCCGGTGGGTTGGCAGTATACGTACAGTTAAGGCACCCTTCTTTCTCTTACAGCAGTGCTTTGCATATTAGTTGAGCTGTTGATATGCATTTGATATGCGGTCATCCTAACAGTTCCATAACCTCAGCAAACAAAACTTAATGCATAAATTTTTCACTTACATAATAAATAATTTCTTTTGAACATTGTTTTGTTTCTTGTAAGTTTTCCCAGTTATTTGGTGGACCAGCCGCACAGTCTTACATGGGCGAAAAATGTGTGGCTCAGCTCAAAAAATCAGCTTGAGGTAGGGGAACGAAGTCACGTGTGATCACGAGCCACTACTCCTTGCGGTTCATTCTCGAATTTTCGGAATTTATTCAAAACGACTCGAGTTTCACGCATTTATGTCTTGGATTCCTGTGCGAGGATAGTGACTGTTATTCGAAAATCTCCTTCGTTATGTTTTCACGTCCTATGCTTGCCTAATAGAGTACTGCGTTTGAATTTAAGCTAATCGCTCTTATATGCAGACATACATGGGCTATCCGTTATATTTCAATATTCGTCACCTCAGAGGCTATGGAAGAGATCGGATACACTACACCCGAACTCATACTGTTACCATGTCTAACCTTAAAGCACATTATGCAATTTTATGCTGTGCATAAATGGTTGTAGAGGCGGTTAGCAACTAACTGGCTTATGAGAGAAGTCGGTAGTATTTCAAACGTTGCTGCCGAATTTTCTATAATGCCCCTTTTTAACCAACATTTCATAGCTGGATTTATTTCGTTGTAAATAAATGGGATGGCAAAGGAGACTGCATTCTCAGTAAAGACCTCATATGTGGCTTCAGTTGCAGCTTAAAGCTCCGTAAGCTTCTCTCAAAGCTCTTTTATTTTCCGTGCTTATACTATCCAACTTCATACATTGCAAGAATTTCAGCACTTCTAACATTAGGATCCACGTTCGTATCCGCCATTCAGTAAGGCCTTACGATGTATTTATAGGTATAACTGCCTAGTTGAGACTTCCCCTTCTTCAATAATGCCGTTTAATCACCGGTATGTCCTGTCGCTCCCTTGATCGTTGAGTGACTCGAGCGGGCGCCAATAAATCCTCCATTTCTCGCTGTCGGGTGCAAGAGCAACAAAATGGGTTCTACTCGCTTTGAAGACCGGTTGGAGATCTTATCTTTCTTCTAGGATTTTCGTGAAGAACGCTGACTACCGCGTTAGTGGTCATTCTACTGCGTGTTTGACATCACAAGGAAGCCACTCGCTAACGACTCTTGTCCATCGGCTGTCGTTCATACACATTAAGTGTCCAGCCTCTCTCATCTTCGGCCGTTTGGTGTATAGAACAGCTTCACTGATTTCTGACCATTGATGCTGATCAGTGCTTCGGGTTCCTTTCCTGGCTTTCGTGATATGAGATGCTCCAAGCACCGTTCTTTTGACTGCGTGCTCTATAATGTGCAGTTATTTCCCAAATTGCTTAGGCAGCGGCCCAATTTCTAACGCACACGTCAAGGCAGGTAGAACGTTGGAGTAGAAAAGGTGCTTACGGAATCGGACATTCTTTGTTCTCTTCACCACACATACTCGACTCTCTTAAAGACCTCCCAAACTGATCTCTTTCTCTTGCTCCACTTTGGAGCTAAGCCGTTCATGTTGCTGATTTCTCAATCTAAATGGACGTAACTCGAGCATTCGGAAATATTTATTCCGTTTAGCCCGAATGGAACATTCGTAACTTATCCATTTTTCATAAACATCATTTTTATGAGGTTTAGTGGTGGACCAACCTTTATACAGGCTTTATCAAAGTAGGCAAGCATTCTTTCTGCTAGGTTAGTGTTTGGTGTTATAAGAACGATTTCATCACCAAAGCGAAGATGGCGTTATTGCCGACCACTGATTTCCACTCCCATATTGTCCCATTCCAATGTTTGCATGACATTCCTGACAGTGATGGTAAACATTTTCGGCAGAATGTTATCGTGTTGACAAACCTCTCTTCTGACATCAGTGTTACTATCGTTATGGAATGGTAATATTTTCTAGTGCTTCCATAACTGCTTTTATCTCAGCTGATTCAAAATCAGAACCGACGTTTAACATCTTTAGTAAAATAATCAACACGTGTTTAAATTTTTGAGCTCACGCGATGCTGATAAATTAGCCTTATTCGGTTAACGTTTCGACGTCTTCGCCTTCGTCAGAGCCGATGATCCAGCTCGATGGTCCAGAGTTGTCCATCTTCTCGATATGGGGTATTCGTCATCGTACCGAGATGGATCTTCTTCAGTGGCACATTGCACGAATGAGGCAACCTCACTCGGTCACGATCTACACAGGGCTGTTGTTGTTGATATGGCCAGCCGCTGGTTTGTTTCTCAACGGACGACCCATCCTGCAGCATTCTTTATTATGTTGCCTAGCTCATAGTGAATTGTAAAAGAATAATTTTCAAATTAACCGTCATTTAACCTCGGTAGTATCCTTGATACTTGATACTTGGACGGCCTGTCCTTACGAGTTGTGCAGAACCCAACACATTTTCCACTCTTTTCTTTGCCTCCCAATGCTTGATGGTGCTGGTTTGATTCGAGCATGGTGGCACGTGCTAGTCTCATACCGTGATCTGTAAAACAACTGCAGCTGCGAGTACAGCTGCTTGACTACGATTACGCACATGTACGGCGAAGGTGTAGTTGGCCGTCCTATGATTCGCCTGAACACTTGTGAAGTCCACTCTACATCTCTTTTCGTCCTTCTGTAGCCGTTGTTATCATTATATGACCCGACGTTTGGCTACTGATGCGTTTTCTCATAGATATCGAAGATAAGGTAGATTTCGAGCATCAGAACTGAACATTCCGGTTAAATATTGTGTGTCCTGGTTACACTTCAGAAAACATCGCCCTTCTGTTCACAAGCGAGTAACTTCCTCGTCAGCTGCAGTGCGATACTAAACAGTTTTGGCAGTACGGTACGCTTTTTCGAACCTCTTTCCTTTGTGTAGTGCTGCTCCGATAACACTAAGATAGACATTTGTATGTAGGATGGGTCCATTCTTTCGTCGACGAGCGCTGATAGGATTGAATTTGTTTCAACGTTGCCAAACGTTTTTTCATAGTCAAAAACGTCAGGATCAGAGGCGGTGCAATGCCGAGAAATATCGATGACCCTGAACACAATCACAATAGTGCTGAGATATTTGCAAAACTCCGAACAGCAGGTGTCTGCGAAACGAACGCGCTATTATCCTTTTCGGCGGGTAACGCCTTCGCGTTCACGTGATGCGGGTCCTTCGTTTCGTCTGTCTCTCAGCTGGTTCTATCGACCAGTGCCATCAGCAATCATCCGACACCGAGATTGATTTGGGGAGTCCAAATCAGCATTGAACCCAGTTAAGAAAACGCTGTAGATGAGATCAAAATTCTAACTTTTCATTTGCTGCCGGGTAATGAACGCGTTAGTCCCCGGAAAGGGTAACGGTGCGTTCGTCCCTCACCGCGGACACCTTCGGTCCGGAGTTTTGCGATTAACTCAGCGTCATTGTATTGTATTTCGCGTCATACCCTGCCACGAAAAAATAATAAGCAGTAAATAAAAAGTGATTACATAAGGATTTTACACTTAAGAAAGCCACCGATTAATCGCAAAAGTGGATTTCGTTTTCTTCATTGAAAGTTCAGTTTGGAATTGGATTTCGATATAAGGCAACGCTATAAGTTCAGATGCTGCCCAGATAAGCAAAAACATTGATTGACTTATTCGCCAAATTTATTCCATCTCAATAAATGTATACATCAACCATGGACCTGCTGATGGACCTAAGATTTGTCAACTCAGCAAACTTCATCCTTCACAAGTTCATAGTGGACAATTCCCTACAGAGATTGTTCAAGATGTATACATCCCTCAGCAAGAATCCACATCTTTGCAAATTTATGCTAGAAGTTATATCCCACTATTTACATTACCATCATACAATTTTTAACCTATTTTAACATCCATAGATGCTACTTAGAGATGCTCACACTTTAACTGAATTCAGAACAGGCCGTGGATACCAAGGATTTACTCGTACAAGACAGATTAGAAGAAAATACCTCAAAAAAGTATATAATAAATTACAAAAAACATGAGATCTTTCCTTGATAGTGGAGAAGACTCTGATGTACTGCAAGTGTACCACTAAAAACATGGCAGACGGTGACAAATGGTGAGTGGCAAACTCAAAAATGAAATCGTAGAATTAAAGGAAAGAGTAACCTCCTCTTTCCAATTAAACAAATACCTCATCAGCCTCGAGCATTTAATGTTTAATCTGGTAATCTGAAACAGGCTCCTGCTAAACTACAATAAGTTGCAAAAACCCCAATGAGAAGAAAGTGAACAAACGGACCCGCAAAGTTCAGCAGAATTGGTTTGGCCCAGATTTTCGCCATTATCTGAAAAGCTTCTGTAAATTTATTGTAAAAGCATCTAGTGGCACAACCAACTGACAACGTACTGTCAAGATGCCTTAACTCTTATCTAACAAATTGAAACACTTCCAAGATGCTGCAAATACAGGAAGGATATTGAGTCTTTAAACACAAACTCCAGATTCACGCATTATGGGGTGGCAGGCCTGTCGTAATAACAGACAGCGGTTAACTAACATCTCGTCCCTCTTATAATCAATGAACTTATGTTTCGATCGCATTGTTGAGCTTCGTTTCTATCACAGGCACTCTCTAAACGTTAGAGCACAACCTGCTTACTAGAAGGTGTCATAGATCACATAGAAAGGAAACTTCCTTGGAAAAAAGTGCAGAGGTCGTCGTGTTACAAACAAAAGTAAGCGCTAGACAAAATGTGCATTAATTCTCTACAAAATTCTTCAACATCATACGACAGAGCTCCAAACATTCTACAATAAGTAGTTAGAGCTGCCCAAACCCCTGCTGTTGCAAACTTTGCTGATTTTTTCTTGTAATTAAAACGGTGCTCTTAAGAAAGCTTTTCTTCACATTAGCTCTCATTACCTATGGAGCACATCCCTTCATTAATTAATGCTCAGTGAAAAACACGGTCTACTGCAATTGAATACACAATTCGAATATATCGATGAAACAGAAGAACTAAAACGACATGAAAGTAATTCAATATTCTGGATCTTCTCTGAACATCGGGAACAGAACAGGGGTAGATTTCCCTTTTGCAGGGTTACCCGCTATTCACCACACCAGCCAAGGTTCTTGTCTTGCCTTTCTCTCAGCTATGTTCTCCATTTTTTTTCCTTTTCCTTCCTCCTTATTGTCTGCTTTCTATCAAAGGTGAGAGAAATACAAAGTAACGGCACAGGTCGGTGTGGTGGACGGCAAAAGAGCACTAGTAGGTGTAATCACGAGCAGAAACTCAACAGGGGTTCCGAGTTTTGCTCATATCTCAACACTTTTGTGGTTTCACTCCACGTCATACCATGCTGCGAGAAAGGGATAGGCAGGTTAAAACAAGGACATATTATTCAGTAAAGCTGACTTTTCCATTGTAAACTGCACGAAACCATAGCCAATATGCACTTTTGTGCAATTTAAGTTCAATGAGGAAACTACCACAAAATGTCTTCTACCTTTGTACGTATGGCTTTCCTCCTAAGCAGAGTTTAAATGAGAACTACAAAACGATTTCCTCACCAAAGAGGATACTTTTCTTTAAAAGCTAACGAAAGAGATTGTAGGGCATAATATAACATAACACAGAATACGGTATAGTATTACTTCTATACCTAAAATGATAGAATTCCTAATGCCAAAAAAATTAAGCTTCAACAGGAAGAATGGACATTATACAAATACTATACATACACAGCTGTACAATGCTTCTCTTGCTGAAAACCGCATGCTATTGCTGACCCAAGAAAACTTCCATTTCCATAGTTTTTGAAAACTGAGAAGTTCTGAGCTCTGCACTTATGAATCGTTAGCGGATTACCGCTTTTGGGTACTTTAGGTTTGTGAGATCATTCAGATCACTACACTCAGATTTCAATGAATAGCTGGAAATTATCACACAGTCCTTACAATCACCATTCCAGAAACCATTTTCACCCACGATAGCCTTTAATAACTTCATCAATCCTAATAGTTACACTTTAATCTTGTTGTCAAAAAGTATAAACCGACTAGCACTGTTAACCTTTCATCTCGAGAACAAAACTCGAACTGATCAGCACCTAGAATTGCACCGCAGTGAGTGAGATTGGCCTCCCATTCACAGATTTCTCCTTAAAATCGTACTGAAATTCGCTGTGCTTTCTATGGTTTTATTCACCTCTCAAAGAATCGTGGAGTTGTTTCTGATAATTATTCGTGCATCTGCAGCCATGAGATGCTACGGCAGAACTCCTCCCCATTAGGTTTTTCTGGGCAACGAAAGCCTCTTTATACCACAACTCCTAAAACGTTGCACATACTTGTATACTAAAAATTTCAAAAGCATTAGAACTTAGTCTTAGATTGAAAATGTGACGTGATCAGGTCGGTCAACTCACCTCAACAGGAATATTGTCCAAAGTAAAAATTTTAGCACCACGCTTGTACAGGTAAACCAAATTCTGACATTCGTTCCACTAAAAAGAAATATTCTGAAAGCGGTTGGGACACGGCTTCTTTATTTCTAACATTCCCCACAATAGCCATGTCAAGGAGGGTGACACGCAGACTGAAGCAATTCGTAGAACACGCAACAAAGAGAGCGCATTTGGTACAGTGGTCAGAGATGGGATACAATACATGTGTGGATGCGTGATCGGATCACCAAGCTTTCCATCTCATCGGAATTCCAAACTTGTCTGAAGGAACAGAAACACTGACTTGATACATCAGCAGGCCACCAAATCAATATTTAGTCCAAATACGAATTCAATCACCTCCAATGATATTTGACGAAGTCGGATGCATAGCAATTATACTCCTTTATCAAACAAATGCTAAAGGAAGAAGGTTTTGCCACTTACAAGAATTCCAAGTCTTTTTTGCAACATAAATCATCGGCAAAATTATTTTCATTTGAGGGATATTGTTAAGCTATCCATGACGACGCATACACAATACACATTGAAATAGCTCATATCAAAGTTGAATTTCGACGATGATATCACAGTCTTTCCAAGGAAACACTGATGAATAAGAGATAAAGTTCAAGGGCTCGTTGAAGCGAAGAAGACTGGAGTAGGAGGAGCCCGAAGCAAAACCGAAAACCGAGAAACAGGAGAGGCTATGAAGAAAGAAGTGATAGATGGCTCGGTTAGGGAGACCATCTCTTCCGTGCATGTTGATGCTTACGACAGAGCAAAAATTACAAGATCATATATTCAGCTAAATACCTAAAGCAAGTTGACAAGGCGAGAATTTGCGTCCTTCAGGTAGAGCACTTGAAATGCACACTCTGAAACACTGCCGACGCACACAACATCGCACAACACTTAACAATTTCCAGTTTCAACAAACCACCCATCTCCGATGTTCAGCCGATCATACATCGAGAACCATATGTAGATGTAACAGCCATGCAATAGGAGGAACCGGCGAGTGATGGACGAAAAAAAGCGGTAGTGAACTTCGACGTAATGTAGGCGCAACAAACACGCGAAACAACTAGTATTTAGAGACGAATGATGAATTTCGGAGCGATTCTATCAGACTTGACCCACGAAGGCAAATTATATAACTAGTCGTGTTTCTAAACACGAACATGCATGCGCAACCAAACGACCTGGTCAACCCTGCTCAAGGTCAATTAGGTCCCCCATCCCACTGGGAATGCAAATAGACGTCAGATTGCTCTAAGAAGTTTCTTCCGACCTGCATGACTCAGGAACACCCTGGCACAACGCTCACAAGATCTATAGAGGATCGAGCGGACCACCACACAATAACACTAATACGGAGAGCCAAAAGCCCCTAAGCAGCAACGGAAGACTTTTGTGGACGAGAAGTGCGAGAAAATTACGAATGAAAAAGGTGCTGAAATCCGCTTGCGAGTGTCTTTGACTTTATCGATTTTTTAATGAAAGAAAATTTTGTTTGTTAGGCAAAAAGTCTGGGTCGTACACGTAGTTTGCAGTGTTACAAATTCGAATTCGAAAGGTGTAAAAGAATATAAAAAAGAAAAATGGGATGTAAATCGTCAAAGCAAGGTAGAAGGAATCCGGGTACCCACCTCGGTCTTCTCACTCGGTGCATCAGCAGGCCTAAAACAGTACAATAATTTGCAGATTTCAATTCAACTGCATGTAAGTTCTCACATTTTTCAAACTTCAGGACGTTACCGTATCTGAAGATGTAGTTCGCAATATAGTTGTGATCTCTAGTCACAGATGTTGATAAATATCATTTATGAGTAAACAAGTTAGAATTCATTTAGAATTTTAGGACGGTAGCAAACTAAACCAGAAGCCCACTTTTCATTGATATGACAAAGCCACCTGTGGAAACTAGCAGTCCTCAAAATGCACGAAGAACTAAAGAAGATTAACTGATGGATTGAAAACTCCACGCTCATCTGGTCAATTTAGCAGCCTCAGTTACGTACACGTGAAACATTCGTGCAAGCCGTGTTCCATGCCCTTCGGTAGAGTGAATTCATTATCCATTGCGGCGGCAACAAATTGCTTTAGAGAAATAGTATTGCCCTGCTGAAACCATTGTGATATGAGGTGATAAGCGGTGGAGAGAGGAGCTGTATTTTCGTAATGTAGTTGCGATAGTAGTCAGACAGGGTTCTTATACAGAACGAATCTACTTCTTAGTCGACTAACACTGATATGATATCATTCGTTTCACGTTGTAAAACGTTCTACTGTGATCGACGGATAGAACCAGAAGAACACGGAACTCTCGACAGATTACTTCGACCAATTTGGACGTAGCCAATGCTTAAGGATCTCTGATAGAATCCAGCTTGCTCAACCGGTTCTGCCTCATCCACACTGCTTGATATATGCGATAGAGCAATCTCCGTGAAGAGTACTCTCAGCAAGCGTTTAGGACAGTGGCTACGAACATTCCTTCGGTTGCCCATTTGGGGCAAAATAACCACGCGCGATACCCTCCAACAGTCTACGAATATTCCCTTTTAAAGGCAAGATGTCATTCAGGATGCGATGGGTACATGTAGCATAAGGTTTCCAAAATTTCGCTTTAATGTTATCGGACTCTTTCTTCGTGCTTTTGTTGCAACTGGACTATCAGAGAGGAAAATTCTATGTGTTTTTTCTCTAGCAGATACTTCGTGTGGCTCCTCGGCTATCGATTGCAAATGAGGGCAGAAGGCGATAGCAACCTCATTTTCGTTCATGAGAATCGACAGCTGCGGAACATTATACTCGCAAGAGGCCCGGTGACATTTCTTTAGCTTGGCTCTTTCTTTCACTACTTCCAACAGTTCCATTTTACAATACCAATGTAGATCATCCTGCAATGATCTTCATTTGGCATTTATTAGCCGCTGTCCAATATGTGTATGAAAGAAATCAACATTCGGGCTTTCTCTCTTGGATAGAAACACTTCAGTGATGACGTAGATATAACTATACGACCTTCTTGTTTGAGCCAGAAAAGTTTGGCTCAAGTTCTAAGTCCTTCACCAAGAGGAAGTTGAATGTGTACCAAAAGCAGCATCATGTTTCTCTGAAACGCAGGTGTATCCATTGGATAGACTCACGCGTCGCTGCGCCGATTTCGCAAATACCTTCTGTGCCTGTAAGGATGTATGAATGGATGACTGTGTGGGTGTGTCTCTGGGACCTACGGATTGGAAGCGGAACGGGCAGGATGAGCGACTGTCAGAGTTTATCATGGCGACCAAGACCATGCATGGTAACTTGCAATTACAAAAGTCCCACACTGAACGCTGGACGTGGGAGTATCCTGGTGGACAGTACCATAACGAAATAGACCACATCATAGTTAATAGAAGGTTTTGCCTAACTTATGTCGCTGTTGTTCAAAAATTCTACACAGGATCCGATTATCGCCTCCCTCGTGCAAGATTCGATTTCTCACAGAAAGGAGAAAAACCCACTAAATTCAAAAAACGACGTGCCAGAACCACCATAAACTGGGACTTATTCAATTCATTAGCTGGCTGTTGGAAAGATGCCGTTCTCGATAACATACGATTAAAACGATCGGCTCAATCAGCATCTTCACGTTAGCGTTATGAAAACTAAAAGTCCGGAGGCTCCCAAGCGACGGTTGTCTTCAGAACACGAGCTGATGCACAACGTGGAATCGCACGAGCCACAGGCAACCGCCTTCTGACACCAAAACTTACAAAATAATGCAGAACGGTGGCAAAAAAGGTCTTCAAGGAAGAAGAGCAGCAGTTATGGCCCAAGCTACAGAGATTGGCAAAAAGCTTTCGAAAAGTGCATCGAAGTTCTCCAATTAGAAAACCAAGAAAATTGAACTACGATATGCGCACAGAACAGTTAAAGCTTCCAGAAAGGTAATGGAGAAAACCATCGTGACTACTACTCGGATTACTTCAACAGCCAAGTCCTCCCTCTCTCGGCTGATTTACGGGAGCATGGATATGTCGTCCCACCGGTTCTCCTTTCAGAAATGCGACGAGCTATTTAATCGGTGAATAATCGTACAAATCCCGGTCTGAAGAGATTGAAAGAAAAACATCTGAGGAACCTTACGCCAGCTCTATTCGACACCACTGGCTCCGCACTTCACAGGCTACATGCGAGAATGCAAGGTTTTCTTTCAGAAGAAATCCAGCAAAACTGCACTATTGTTCAGAAAGGGTGAAGTCCACGATATCGGCAGCTATCACAGGACTTGCCTACTGCCTCTCGTCTATAAACTCATCACTCGAGTCATACTGAAAGGAATTGACGGAATAACGGACGAGGAACATCCATGATACCATACAGGTTTTCAATAAAAGTATAGATGATGTATCCCAGGATCGACTTTCTATTACTCTTGGCATTGGAATATGAATGCGTCGTTTTCTTGTTCAGCAATCGCGAGGTTTTTAAACAGCATACATTTACTTCCATAGAGAAACACAATACAGTACAACACTAGCTGACGTTTCGGCACTATCGCCTTCTTCAGAGCCTTGAAGGGTATACTGATATACAATTTACTAGGCCAAACGCTTCAGTAACACTTACAAAAAGACGGAAAACTCTTTGGTAATTACATGATCAACAACTTCTCGAAAAACCCACCGCTTTTTCGTGACTTCCAATGAGGAAAATTAGAACAGCTGATTATAGTCGCATATGGTTGACGACTGCAGCATCCCGCATCAGAAATTGATGCGAACATATGGGATCAGGTCGCTTATCACCTCCGGGCATTCGTCCCTGCCATTCATTGTAGGGTTTTGGCATTTATCCAAAAAGCCTCAACAAGTTTTCGCGCTGGTGTTTTAGACTCCTGTGCAAGGATATTGACTTTTACTTCAAAATCGTCTCCACTATGCTTTTGTATCCTATGCGTGCCTAGTGGGGTGCTTCGTCTTAGTTTTCGTTTGCCATCTAGGTGTTCTTTTATACGGACACACAAAGGTCTGCCCGTTTCGCCAATATATTCGTCTCCGCAATTATTACAAGAGATCAGGTATATCGTACCTGAACTTATGCAATCACCGTCCCTGCCGTAAGGGCAAATTACGCAATTTGTTGTTTCACATAGACGGCCATACAGGCGGTTACGAACTAATTGACGACGTAGAGTAGCCGGTGGTATTTCAACTATCACTACCCATTCCTCTAGACTTGCTCTTCTTAAGCATCGTTTTATAGCTACGCTAACTTCATCGCTTATAAAAAGCAACATAAACGGGACTTTCTTTTGGCCGTGTGCTTCGTGTGGGCGCGTCGCTCTCCTTCTAAACTTATCTCGTGGGGTTACTATTTCGTGGCCATTGGAGATGGTTATTTCCCGAGCCAAGTCGCGCGATTCTTCCTTTAGTTCCCTGGTAGTGCATACAGAGGTGGCTTTTCGAAACATGTTTCTCACAATCGCCCTCTTTGTGTGTGAACAGTGGGAAGAAAGGAAATGAACAAGAATGTTCTTGTTACTTGGCTTTCGATACCACTTTGTCAGGTATCCGCTACTTGATAGGTTTATTTGAACGTTAAAAAACGGAAGCCAGTTTTTTCTCGGTTTCTCCCAGGTGAACTTTATGTACTCAAACTGCTCGTTCAATAATTTAAAGCATTTGTCCATCTCCTCCTGCGTAGAGAACATGACAAAACAATCATCTACATATCTGCAGCAGAATAGTGGCCGGAGGTCGAGAAGAGGGGCTTCTGTCTCAGACATAAACACAGTGGCAAGGCTTGGTGCCAGTCGCTGTCCCATCTCCAACCCCTTAATTGCGCGAAATATTTTCCGTGCCATCTAAAAAACGAGCAGTTTAGGCACTCTTTGAGGAGGGCCATTAGCTGCTGGATGGTCAATCCATGCATATTTATTCTTCCTTCATGTTCAACAAGAAGTTCGAAGATGGCTTGGCATTGCGGAATCATTCGGCACGTTGGTGTACAGTGCGCTAACGTCGAAAGACTCCATCACGTACGCGTTATTAGGAGACGCGTTACGTAGACGTTCTAGGAACATTTGGGTGTTTGTGAGGTGAGCTGGAATGCAGTTGAGCAACTGGGTAAGTATCAGCCTTAAAAACCAGGTTCTTCTATCCGTTGGCCCGTCTACACAGCTGATGATGGGTCTAACCTTGAATGATGACGGATTGGTTAACGCAAGATCATCAGGTGATACCAACTTATGCGTTTTAATAATTAGGTATAGGACGGGGCATGTTGGTCTATCGATTTTAAAGTGCGAAATAACCCATGATTTTAAACCCGCAGCCTTTACCACACTGACCTATTGATTGTTTAGCTTTCGGATGAACTAAGATGTTCCTCTGTTATCTCAACATCCAGCTGGCGAGGAATAACTACGGACTCTCTAATTTCCCACATGCCACATTTTTGTGCGGTTGTAAGGTTAGAGATAAACTTTCTATCGCGGTAGTGATCAAGGGTCTTGAGAACTCCGTCCGAAAACATGCGGAATTTTATGTCAACTCCATCGTTAGGGTCCTGCCATCTAAAAAACGTTTTTGGGAAAGGAGATGGTGGTAGTGTCGCCGCCTCTTGATCTTTATCTCTATTTGATGTTTCTTGCTTGGCCTGATAGCGGAGTCGATCTTGAAGCTACAAAAAAACCCTACAATGAATAGCAGAGACGAATGCCCGGAAGTCATACGCGACCTGACCCCGTATGTTCGCATCAATTTCTGGTGTGGGATGTAGCAGTCGTCAACCATATGCGACTATAATCAGCTGTTCTAAACTTCCTCATTGGAAGTCACGAAAAAGCGGTGGGTTTTTCGAGAAGTGTCATGTAATTACCGGAGAGTTCTTCGTCTTTTTGTAAGTGTCATTGAAGCGTTTGGCCTAGTAGATTGTATATCAGCATACCACGTAATTACCAAAGAGTTTTTCGTCTTTTTGTGTTATTGAAGCGTTTGGCCCAGTAGATTATATATCAGTATACCCTTCCAGGCTCTGAAGAAGGCGATACTGCCGAAACGTCAGCTAGTGTTGTATTGTATTGTGTTTTTCTATGGAAGTAAATGTATGCTGTTGAAAAACCTCGCGATTGCTGAACAAGAAAACGACGCATAGATGATGGAGTCAATCAGTGCGATGGGTCACGTCCACAAGAGTGCAAGACTTATTGAGGTATCGGCGTAACCTCACCAAACAACTAGTGAAGATGGACCATCCAAGTATCACAAGTAAGTTGGCATGACAATTAGCTTAGTCTAGCCAGTAACTTCACAAAAGGCTTGAAAATTGGGTTCTGAGAAAACTGTTCTGATACTGCAAATGCAAAGCATGAAACAGACTTCACTGTGTTTCTCACAGCGTGATGTTACAGACAGAATCACCATGTACGCACGGCACTGAGGATGACTTACTGCTGCGTGCCAAATTTGTTCTTACCTGGAGTGTTGACTGAGCCTTATTAAAACGTTTTCAAGTCTTCGCAACAATGTATTATTTCAGAAGAGCTTCGTATGGACACAGATCCCTTCCGATTAGTACTACCACTTCTCTTAAGAAATGACTTTCGTTAAATCTTGGTGACAGTAATCAATAATTCTCTACTTGACTGAGCTGACATGGCGTTTGTACTAAACGTTTATTCGGCTAATGTTTCAACGTCTTCGTCTTTTTTAGGGTCGGACTGATCCAATTCGATGGTGCGAATAATTCCAAGATGACATATAAGTCGAATATAAAAGTGAAAGCAGGAATGGAAAATTAACCGACCATTCGCACTTGATATTACAAGCTGAACTCTTCATATTCATAGCGTCTTCATATTCATATCCATTCAAAACCCATGACCTTTGAAAGATGATGTACTTGACATCGTCACCACTATATCCACGGTTTAACAAACCCGTTCTACGGAAATCAACTCAATTTTAGAAAGCTGTTACTACCACCATGGGAGATGTTTGCGATCATGACATCCCCAACTGCAATAAGTTTTCGTGCACATGAGCATTTTCATAATACATATCCAACACCACCATTATAATTCGATGTTTGCCTTCAATAAGAAGACACATGGTTGTTATTATAGAATTTACTTTACTAGGATACTATAGGTGACGTTTCGGCGGTTTCGCTACCTTCATAGCCGGTTATTTGTTGTAAGTATTTAGGTTAACTGGTGGATAGCAGCAACACAGAGTAATACATGGGCGAGCACAGTCGAGGACCTCACGTATGCTTATTGAAGAAAACATGTATTACTCTGTGCAGCTGCTATCCACCAACTAACTTAAATACTTACGACATATAAACGGCTCTGAAGAAGGCGAAACTGCCGAAACGTCAGCTATTGTATCCTAATAAATTCTATAATAACAACTTCGTGTCTGTTTATTGAAGAAAAACAACGAATTATCAATTAATGCCGAAGTTAGCAGGAAGTCGGTCTTGGGAAGCACCAGTATAAGCCAAAAAATCCAATGACATATACAGTATGCAAGGACCCTGCTGCGTTAGCGTTTACGACCGTTTACGACTAGTTTGAGCCAGTCCGCTACATGGAATTATCTTTTTCGTTCAAAGTTGGTTGTAAGGTCTCTTCATCGAACTTCTTTTGGTCCTAATATCATTTGTTTTTATAATGAACGCACTCTTCATATGTGTAAAGAAACATACCCGTGCGAAGAAGTTTTCGTTGGTAATTCTTCACGATGCAGCTTCGTATGTTCAGTTGACGCTGATGCCAAGGCAGTTTCATAAGTCTCATGAACACTTGGTATATGACCCTGAGTAGATTTCTCCATACAGTAATTACGATTCACATTTTTAGATGGAAGAGGTGAAGTTAAGAGTTGTTCTCTCTTTGTAGACTGAGATAGAGGACCCGTAATTTCATATACTTTGGACGACTGATTCCCAATCAGTGAAGTTTCTTCACGACTCCGCTTCATATGTCCAGCGGGGATTGATTTCGAGGATGTTTCTTGAAGATTTAGTACAAGAGACGGAGCACTTATTTTCATGGAATAATCACTATTCATATTTTCAGATGGAAGAGGTGGAGGCATGAGCCGAACCCTCGTTCGGGATTGAGATGGACTGACCGCACTTTCACGGCCCTTGGACGACTGATTTCCAACCATTACAATTTCCTCACGATTCAACAATACACACTCATCAGAAATTGGGGTTGAGGGTGTTTCTTGAACATTCCGTGCAAGAAACGTTGTACATGTTTTCACAGAATAATCACCATTTATACTTTTAGATGGAAGAGGCGGAGGCATGAGCTGCACGCTCTTTCGAGAATGAGATGGAGAACACATAATTTCACATCCTCTAGAAGACAGATTTTCAACCTTCTGGTGAAAATCACAAGCTTTCGAAGTATTCTGTAGCATTATTGAAAATGAATAAAGAAAAGATGGAGAAGAGTTCGGCGATTCTGAGCTTGTTGCAGGCAAAGAAGAAACGGTCGAGAAGTACAGATGCGCTTTTTTAGGAAACGGAATAGATGGAAATGCAACCTTTGTAGAAGACCCAATTTCACTCATAGAATGTGAAGCAGAACAAGATTTCTTCTCAATAAATTTCCGTGAAAGACTGCACGGCAGCGGTCGACGAATTTGCGGGTAGGAGGCTTCGTGGGGCTGAAATGAACGAAATTTACCGTGACAAGATTACAAAATTGAACTACGCCAAACCTTGTTACTGGTCTCATGCTGAGTGCACACCGTTTCCGCTTCCTTTCGACTTTGCTTCTTAAAACGGTCAAGATCTTTACCTGTAACAGTAATTGAAGGGAAACAAAAGTACTGTCATTGCCACAAAAGACAATGATAAAATTATTTCAGTGAATAGACAAGATGGGAAGACCTCTTATTCATGTAAGGCATAAGAAAATCACTCATCGATTTCTGTCTATTTATTCGTTCCCAACATAAAGTAATTTCAAAATCTTGATCAAAGCACTTTCTAGCATGTGCATCAAAAGAAGCAAAGTGACAGAAATGCTGGAAGCTGCAGCTTTAGAAAACAGCGCTGGGCAAGGATATTAGAGTTAAACAGGTTAGCGCCACACTTTATGTAAGCTTGCTTAACCATGAGTGGGTTTAACGCAGTGTTCAGAGGTGCACGCCAACACATAAGAGGTCGTTCCAACGCCGTGCATGGTAAACAAAGTTCTCTGTCCCTCTGAGCACCGCAAATCAGCATGAAAATTGTATGGGAGGTTAAAAGCAGGCTTGTGCACTGGTAGGACACCGCTAGTATAAGCCAGCAATCTATTCCATCGGCACTTTTACGCTGCTTCATGAACTCGAATATATGGCGCATCCCTAAATGATTAATCAGTGCCGAACGCTTAATCCCTATATGTTTCAGACGACCAGTAGGTTCCTTGTGATTTCTGAATGACAGTTCCTTCTTCAACTCGTTCTTGGATAATAAAGAAAAATGAAGATCCTTTCAGCCAAAGGAAGATTTTCTAGCTTCCCACCAAAACGTGCACCAATACTGCTATCATCCAAACGACTTCTTTTACCAGGAGTTAATAGCCCTTTGGAATCACTGCCGCTTTATTGAAACTTCTTCCTTAAGTCTAAGATAAGACACGATTTAGGATATACGAGAAACTGCATTAACACCACGGCAAAAGTTGACCATGGCTCACATGTACGTGATCAACTCTGGTCAACAGGCCATTAAAGGATGATTATCGCCCTGATGAATGACAAAGATTAAGATATATGATAGACTATATTGTTTTGTAGGTCATTAAGACATCAAATACTTACTTACTTAGATACTTGGATGGTCCGTCCTCACTGGTTATGTAGGTCCCAGCATATTCTCTATTTTTGGGAGTTTTGTTGCTTAGCCCTTGTGTTTCTCTGGAGTCCTGAGGTCAGCCTGGGCAAGGATTGCTCCAGATCGTCACCAATACAGGCAATCTCCACCTTGTGGATCAGAGGGAGATTTGCCACCATGCGACTAGTTTGATACCAGGACGGTGGTGGATCCAGGTATTGGTTTACTCTTAGCCGGGCTTCCTGACGGAAACGGCGAAGGAGACCCTGCCGGGTGGATGAATTCCCTACCTGTACATCACAGGCCGACACCCAGGAACAATTCCCAGCCACGATAAGGCGGTAAACCGTTGGAGGGATGACAGTGAGGATGACACCAAATATTGTTTCTACATAGTCCATATAGAAGATACCCTTTTTTCTATCGGTTCAAATGATTGCACCTGATAAGAATTCCCTCAATGTTCTATAAAGAAAGCATAATGTGGCTCTTATCTTAAGCATATCTTAATTATTCAATTTCGTAAAAGAAGTAATTGGCTTTGAGCAAGTTTAGGAAACAATATTTAAAGTCGAGATATGTTCCATTAGAAAAGGAAAAGCACTCGCCCAGCTTTATAGAGGATTGGACTTTTCCATGCTCCTTTCCCTCGATTTCCTTTAACGGTTCGAGTTCACGGCGCTGTCGCTTCAAATGTCGCGGTATAGGGGCTACCGCTGCCTTCCTCACGGCATCATTCATGGCCATTCTTAAAATAAACATTGAACAGATAGAAAGGTAGAGCGTCTAGAACGATCAAAACCAACACACAATATTAATCCTATCTACTATATCATCATCTAACTTATCTTCAACCTTATTCAACTGCAACCACTCACGGAGTCTAAGGAACAACAGTAACGCTTCTATTAATTCAGGTTTAATCTCAATTTTTACGTGCACCGCAATGGTTAGTGGTGGACTGCGATAAACGCGACTGATCCTTCGCCCAGACTCACCAAACCTTCTGTCCGTTCGGAGACGGTGAATTGGTACCAGACTTCTATGGGAGGATAGCAGCACCGAATATACACATCGGCAAACCGCCGCGAGTAAAATTGTATAGGTCAGATATGCATTCAGTCGCTTCCAAAGGAGCTTATTGAAGTCGAATGCATGGGGCATCCCTCAGGGATTCATCAACGCCAATAGCCTTTATCACTAACCTACTTTTCAACGTTTTGCAGAGACAACCTAAACTTGACACGATAACAACACGCATCGAATTATCGCGAGATTACAAAACACCGCTCTGTCTCACTATGAACGCTTTTGACTCAGTTGAGATAGAAGCAGTCATGGAAGCCCTTGATACTCAAGGAGAATGACAGCCCATGGACAAAAACCGTTAGTGACTGGATTCCACGTGATGTCAAGCGTACTTCAGGAATACCACCGACCCGATGGTCAGGGTTCTTCACAAAAACGCTAGAAGAAAGGTATGATGCTGAACGAGTCCCTAAGCAAGCACAACCCGCTGGGCTACTCTTGCACGTAACAGGAAATGTTGGAAAATTTGCTGCCGCCCCATCGAGTCACTCGACGATCTAGGGGACCGCAGGTGATACACTGACATAGGCGAACTTGGCTTTGTTACAAAACACTTTCCAACCTTTAATTCCTGAAAAAAATACTTTGGAGAATTCCTCTGTTTCTACAGCGACGCCGCAAAGCGTCCCCGAATAAGTTGTTCTCGTCCTCATTAAGTGCTCTAGTGAACGAGATATTAACGGTCGTTAGCGGAAAACCAGCGTTGCCGCAGATGAGATGGAGTGTTGGGCCATTTAGTATGCAACGGTTGATTTTGGGCGAAAATTTAACACGCTACGAAATCCACCGAAGTCCAAGTTGACAATCACATAATCTGCGATCTACGACACGCACAAATCATTCAAAAATATCTTCTAATCGACGGCTCCATACGGAAAACCTATTAAGGAAAAAACTATCCGTCTGTAGAATCATATGAGCACTTAGTGGTCACTTCCGTAACAAAAAACGATCTAAAAAAGGCTATCCGGCATGTGGAGATATCTTATGACGCGCGACAGAGACAATGGAGTTTACTGAAATCCAATCAAGCAACTCAACTACTAACAGAACCATAGTTAGTAGAGGTAATACACTTTTACCAATGTCCTAGAATCGAAGATTATCCATGAAAGTTCATATTTCTGGATCTGCCAAAGTCGTCTAAGGGCTCTAGAAAGCTTCTTGATTAACAAACATGTGTCCATGAAAACGAATCCCAAGCTGCCCAGATGGCAATTTTCACCACTTTCAAACCCAGTGAGATGTCGCTACAAGACAGACAACATCTTCGACAGGTTGACGTATAGAACGGCGTTATTGGTCCTTGATCGTTGACCTAGCTCGGATCTAGAGAACCTTTTCCTTACTTGCGTGACAAAGGATACTCGTAGCATCGTTCATTAGACTGCTCGTTCTATAAGACTAAATAATCCTTCACCCTACTTACTCAGCGGCCAAGTTTCTGACGCATATGTCAAAGTAGTAAGAACTGTGGAGTCGAAGAGGTGAGCATGGAATCAGGTATTCTTCGTCCTATTCACCACATACCTGATGCTGTTGAACGTTCACCAAACCGCTCGCTTCCTCTTGCTCTACTCTAGAGATAAATCCTTCATCACGCTAACTTCCCGAAACAGATAGATGTAACTTGAGCATTCGGAGACACGAGCTCAGTACAGCGTGAATTGGCATACGAAATAAATCCGTTCCTTGAGAACATCGTTCCTTCGAGATTTAATCGAAGACCAATCTTTCCACAAGCTCCATCAAAGTCGGCAAGTATTTGCTACGCTTGGCTAATGTTTGGAATTGAATGAACGATGTAATAAGCAAAACGAAAATGAAGTAATCGCCGAACATCGATTTTCACTCTCATTTTGTCCCATTTCAATGTTTTCATGCCGTTCTCCAAGGTGGCTGTAAATTATATTGGTGAAATGTGATCGCCTTGCCTAACCTCTCTTTTGACGCCGATGTTAGTATCGTCGTACAATGCTGATATCTTGGTTGTGAAATTTTTGTACAGTTCACGAAGAATCTTTATGTACTAAGTAGGGACTCGTTGACTATCAAGGGCTTCCAAGACTGCTTCTATCTGAACTGAATCAAAGACCTTCTGTAAATCGATGAAAGTTGAGACAGAGCGGTCTTTTGTGCTCTCGCGGTACTTCAACATGCTTCGTTATCGTATGGATGTGGTCCATCGTACTAAATCGTTTTCGAAACCCTGTGTGTTCACATGGCTGTCCTTCGTCCAGTATTCTGTCAATCCTGTTTGGGATGACTCGAGAAAAAGTTAGACGGCAGCCAGCAAGCAGCTTGGGCGATAGTCGTCATCCGATATCGTGGAGTTCATTCTTTTTAAACAACAGCCCGACCTTGCTGGCTTTGCAATGAGTAGGGACCGTGCATTCAGACAGGTAATATGTGAAGAGCCAAGCCAGTGTGTTTACGAGGACTAGCGGAAGGTTCTTCAGATGTTCTGGTTTTATCCTGTCCGGACCTGGTGTTGTGGAATTCATCACCAACGAAAGAGCACCTCGAATTTTGGAAGCAATAACAGGTGGGACAATACATTCATCTTCCTTCGTTTATTGAGAGTGGGAGGAAGTGAATGGCCATTGAAGAGATCCGAGTTGTCATAGTGGATGTCTTTCTTCATTGCCTCTCTGGAAGCTGTAACTTCTCGTCTGAGCCTCGGAGTTCAATAATCTTGGTTCTGTAATTGGCGCCATTTTAGTGGGCTTTGCGAATGGATTTACCAGCCTCTGCAGCTTCGACCGCAATTGTTGCTCTTCGTTAAGGACCTCTTTTATCGCCTGCCTTGATTCTTTCACAACTTCGACCGTGAGTCAGCGATTGGTTACATTCTACGATTGCGAATCAGTTCGTTTCTGGGCAGCGACATCTTTTGGTGACTTTCGAACTCTTCATAGCTTCATAGCGCTAACGTGAAGGTTTTGAATAAGCAGTTCCTCTTCCTCGTCAATGTTACCAAGAAGCATCCCCCGCCCTACCTATAAATTGAAGAAATCCTAGTTTATGGTGGTTATTGAACTTCGCTTTTTGAATTCAGCGACTTTTTCTTCTTTATGCGAGAAACGAAGTCTTGCACGAAGAAGGCAATGGTCTGAGTCCATATAGAATTTTCGGACATCTGAGATATTGGTCAATTAAAACGTTTAATTTCCTATGATGTGGTAAATCCCTCCGCTGGGTCTCCGCTGGAGCCCTAGGTGTAGCATTGACAGAAAAGCTTCTGGAATTGCGAGTTACCGATGGTCCAGTGGTCGTATTCGCGATGTGACTGCCGTGACTGTCCGTTGATAATACTATTCGCCATGCGCTAGCTAATACAACACTGACTACTGCAGGATGCACTGCTACCAAAAATACAAATCATATTTAATGGACACAATAGATCATGTACAAGAGGGCACCATCGAGTAAAATTCTTCATTAGATCGGTGCTCCGCTTCATCAGGCTCGGCTTGATGCGACAACGAACAGCCACATCGCCAGCACAAGCATTGTAGATTATTCGATTCGGATCAGTTCGGCTGTAAATAAGACGACGCCGTCGAAATGCTGGCCGAATAAGACTTTTTGTAAACCTCGTGGTTGCTTAGTAATCGAAGAAGTAATCCATTCAGATCAAGAGATTAGCCGAAGATAAGGCACTAAGTCACGTATGATATGTCACCGATGCATACGTCTGCATTCCTCTTTGCATTCATGGAATTTTTATAAGATGTCTCAAAAGCTTTCCTCGTTGTTGGTTTTGTTAGATCAATGTCATTGGGACTTGAAAACCACGGTTTTTTGCATCTTGCGCATGCCAAGAGGAGCAGTTTGTCGAATTTTAAACTTTCCGCCTAGGCGTTCTTTTATGCAGACACACCAATTTTCTCCAGTGTTCTCGCTAGTGTATTCACCAAAAGATATCTTATAAAAATCAGGCATATTATACTTAAACTTATTTAGCCTTGTCTCATACAAGCGGTTTCGAACCAATTGGTGACTTAAAGAGTTTGGTGGTAGTTCTATTACTGCATGAGAACTCCTAGACCGCCGCTTTCAGGCACCTCTAAATAACGGTGCGCACCTAAGGGCAATACGAAAGGAACCTCATCTAGGTTTTAGATATTGTTTTGCTTAATAGGCCTCCATTTACTTCTAAGCTGAAAACTGCTGTTTTGCAGCCATTGGATGTGACTCTTTGTTCTACTGATAAGTGCTTTCTTTCATATGTCAAGGATGATTAGAAAACTACTGGAATAACATATTTCCATCATTTGTTTCTCGATACAAATTTACGGTGTAACCACATGCGGAACGGTTTAATTGAATTCGAAGTACTAATTTCAGACTGACCTTAACAAGTTTTGACTTCTATTACACCACAAACTCTTATCTGATGACCAGTGGCTAACTGTTCGAGGAATTTGTTCTTTTAGAGCTTAGGCGTATTATTATTTATTATACGCTGCATATTCAACATTATTAATAAACACTTACTTTATAAAGCAAACCAAATATTTTCCTGTTCGGCACTCACTGCTTGTGTTTCCAAAGAACGAAGCCGTATGCAGTGCACGTACGATTATGAATGAACTTCACTCAGACCATAAAACTGATTTATGATAAGGAACAAGCCGCGTATGATAGTGGGCATTCGTACTCTTTAATCATTTTTATGTTTCTAAAGGTTATCCAAAATGCCTCAAGAGCTTTTCGCGTTAATGTTTTTTATTCCTGTTCGCGGATCCCAACAACTGATTCGGATTCGTCACCGTCCTTTTCGCGCCCTATGTGTACATATGGGAGTGCTCTGGCGAATCTTGATATGTCCATCGAAGTGTTCTTTCATACGGAAACAACGTGATCTGGTCGTTTCGCCAATGTTATGTACCACTGCATGTCCTACAAGAAGCCAGATATATTGTGCCTGACTAACTGACAGTGTACAGTGCTCGGTAGAAGTTTTACAACTTCTACAGAACTGTCTAAACCAGTGTTTTTTAGCCATCTCTTAGTAGCGAGGCCCACCTCGTTTCGTCGCCTAGTTCTCCCCTCACACCTAATCTGAGTGAGATAGCTGTTTGTCGTTCCAAAAATAGCTCTTTCCTTCTTTTCCTCTTCTCCAGTGCACACCATTGTAGCTGCTGGGTACAGGTTGGGCAGAAGTGCTTCTCTTATATATGATAAATGAGAACACAGACAAGCACATTTTTATTGCTTGCTCGGCTTTTGATACCATATTGTGATGTAGCCACTTTGCTAAAAGTTAATTAAAAGGTAAAAGTATGGAGTCTACTCTCGTAAGGTCTTTTTGCATGGACATTAGAAACTCTGACAGTTCATTACGTGATTGAAACCATTTGTTCTTCTCCTCTTGTGTACACCAGTTGATGAAAATATCATCTGTGTACCGACAGTAGGGTAAAGGTTAGCGGTCGAGGATTGAATCTTCCTTCCCAGATATAAAGGCAATTGTGAAGCTTGGTGCCAAACACTGTACTATCGATTCAATTCGATTTGTGCTCAATATCTCTTAGATAACTTAGAAATTGAACGGCTGAAACACTTTGTTAAGAAACCTACGAGCTGTTGAACTGACAACCCATATATATTTATCTACTGTCGATACATAGACGGCTGCTTCATCGTCTGTTCCACACAAGAACAGATGGATGAGTGCTTTGAATTATTAAACCGACAGTCAAAGTATATAAAATTTACACGAGAAAAACCTACCGAGAACTGGCTTCCATTCTTAAACATCCAAATAAAGCTCTCAGTAAGTGGCTATGTAACAAAATGGTATCGCAAGCCAAGTAGTAAAAACATTCTAGTCCACTGCCTCTCCTCTCATCCTTCACACATGAAAAAAGCACTTATCAAAATCATGTACCGTACGGCTAAAAATGTGTGTACAGGAGAAGAGGAAAGGAAGGAATCGCGAAGCCTGGCACGAAAAATTGCCATTTCCAATGGCTACGAAGTAGAAGCCACTCGGGTTAGACAAAAACGTAGGGTAGTTCCCCAAAATAATATTTCAGACGAAAGTAGGATCCCTTTTAAGTTGCCCTTCATATCAAATGAAGTAAGTCACGCCATTAAAAAGTGCTTAAGAAAAAGTGGTCTTGAAAATTATGTAACGATTATTGACAACCCACCCAACACCTTACGCCTCCAGTTAGTTCGAAACCGTCTCTATGATCGTTTGTGCAGCTCAGAAAACTGTACGAACTGTCCTAACGGGAGAGACGGGGATTGCATGAGTTTAGGTATAATATACTTGATCTCATGTAATGCATGCGGCGAGGAATATATAGGAGAATCCTAGCGCAGGAATCAAAAATATCAACACGCAAAACTCTTGAAGCGTTTTGGATAAAATTCAAAAATCCAAAGATGAACCGGAAGGACGAATGCCTCACTATCACGCATGATCTGGCGCCCTATTTCAAAATGATATTTTGACTCCGGGGCGTGTCTTGCTCGCGACTCCACGTGAACTACGTGTGGGCCAGTCCCCAAGTAACATCACGGTGAGTGGCTTTTCCGTTCAATATGGCGTCTATTTGAAAGTTTGATCTTCATTAACACTTTAACCTTTCTTTTCCACCGAATAATAAAAAGTATTCTAACATTAAATACGTCCAGGCTCTGAGGAAGGCGAAGTCGCCGAAAGGTCAGCCATCGATCAATAAAATCAAAAACAACGACAACGACAACGAAGATCTGTACCAACCTCGCGTCAGCTTAAGAAGATCAGTTTATAAGATCACATAAATAAATACATATTTATCTTCTCTTCAAGAACCATGAACAGCTCAAGAGTGGCTTGTATTGCGTCACCATTCAAGACGTATGTGTGGAATGCAGTGAAGGCTTTCCTTCGTCTTTCGACTTCACCACATATGTGTGATTTGTATGTGTACAATGTGCACTGATCTACGAACATTTCAATGGTCTGGTATCAGTCTTAGAAATTGACCGAGGATAAGGCTTAGGAACCATGTTATCTCACGCGGAAGACCGAATAAACAGCTGATGATTGATATAAACTCGAATGTCAGTGGATCGACACGCAATAATATTAGTGGAAACGAGCGTAAGTGTCTTCATAAGCAAACGTACGATAGGGCGGGCTGGTAAATCACTTTTAACTTAAGACATAATTCATGGTTCTAATCCGCTTTGCTGCTTTGGCCAACGCTCTGCTTAATTCTTTCTACTTCTGTTCAGCAAACACGAGGTGCTATTTTATTTCTTTCTTTTTTTCTTGTTTTTCTTTTCTCTTTCTTTTTCTTTTCTTTATCAAATAGCACCCCGTGTTTGCTGAAGAGAAGTAGAAAGAATTATTCAATCAATGCCGAGGTTAATAGAAAGTCGGATCGGACTTGGGAGTTACTCGGCTTAATCTTCAACGGATATTTTTCCTCAAAGGATAGTCGATCGCGGAAAAGATCCCGAAGGTTTTCTTTTTTTTGTTATTTCAACATCCAGCTAATAAGAAATCATCAGTCGGTTAGCTGGTGTGGAGTTTAAAAATAACTAAAAAAAACAAAAAATAATAAATTGATACTAGTAAGCAAATTAAACGATAAAACTTCATTCTATTTCTACTGTTATTTTATTTTATTTTGACCCGTCTTCGCATCTACTGTACGGGCCCCAGCACTTCTCACATCCAGTTCCTTTCCTCGCAACCATTCCATGGAGATCTTCCAACTTTACGTGTAGCATCGGTTGCTATTTGAGGATTTTCATTTCACCTTGAATGTGGTGGAATGCTGGTCGAACAATTATGCTTAGAGTCTTGAGATATCCTACAATATGAAGGGTACCGCAAACTAAGTAATAAAGGCATACCAATGCATCAGTATTAAAAGTAATACTAAAAGTGTAAAAATATGTAAAATACAGGAGCTCAGCTATGCACAAAGATCGGTGGCTAGTTCGACACCACCAAACCTTCCATACCTCCAGGGCGGCGAAATTGCTAATACACTTGCCCTGGAGGGAAAAAGTCCGACTTGGTATATCGAAAGGCTACTGCAAGGCATTGTATAAGGCAGATATGTATTTAATCATCTCTACGATGCTTGATCAAGTTGAATAAATCGCGTATCGCGCAGGGATTGATCAACACAGAACGCTGTATGCTTTCAAATTTCATCGATGCTGTCGATAGAGCACTTTACCAAAACCCAGCTATTGATTCGAACAAATCTCAATCTAGGACGGCTTCAGTTTTGTTTGCTGAATTTTGTCACTTTCGCTTTTCTTTGAAGAAAGGAATCTTGCACTAAGGTCGATAGTCGGATAGCGCAT